AAAAAAAAAAAAAAAAAAAGTAGTGAACAACAAAAACAAGTAGTAAACCAAGAAACTTTGCCTTTGGCAAATGGAAATGCACTATAACTTTACCAAAAGCTGATAGGAAAATATTCTTCCACAGATAGGTTCCAATATCAAAAAACCAAAGCTCACAATATTTACATACCTAAAGGACACAGAACTAGACAGTCTTAGCTGTCATCATGTTAAGGCCCAATCTTGCTCACAATGCAAACAACACAATGTCCCAGTACTATGGGCTTGTGAAGGTGCCAACAACTCAGGCTTAAAATGAAAGATGAAAACAAAGAACAAAATGCACACAGGCTTCCCACCCGGCCACTGCCCTTCCCATACTGTGAGGAAGAAGAGGAAGCAGGAGCATTCAATGCCACAAGGATCCACCATGCGCCTATAGTGTGCAAGGAACACAGAACCCAAAGCGACAGCCCTGCCGTCTAAGACGCGACACTGGTGTGTGGACAAGTCCTCAGCCTTTTCTGGGACACGGTGATAGCCAAGAAGGTCCTGGGACCTCTTCACCACAAAAAAAGTGCAGTGAAGACAGCCACACGTGACAAGTCTGAGACAAGAGGGGCATAAGAGAGCCCCTGGTGCCCTGTCAGGCCGTGGGTGGGAATGACTATTTCTAGTGAAAAAAATCTGAGGAAGGAAGGGATCTCAGCTGGACTCAACAGGCGCAGCCTCCACAGGGACCCTGGAGGGACCCACAGCGCCAAGAAGTAGGCTGATAGAGAAGCAGCAAGAGTGCTGGCTTTGGCAGCACTAAAATTGGAACGATACAGAGAAGATTAGCGTGGCCCCTGTGAAAGGAAGACACGCAAATTCGTGAAGCATTCCATATTTAAATAAATAAATAAACAAACAAACAAACAAACAAACAGCAGCAAGAGCCAGGCATGGAGGAGCACACCCCGTGATCAAGCACTGGGGAGGCTGATGTAGGAGGCTCACTGAGAGTTCGAGGCCAGGCTGGGGTAGAGTATAGTGAGTTCAAGTCCACCCTGAACTACACAGCAAGACCCTGTCTCAAAAAAGGAAATAAAAGCAACAGCAGCAAGAATGCCTGCAGTAGCTGGAAGGAGGCAAGGCTAGGAGACCAACCTGAGACCTGGCTGGGAGGGTTAGGCTGTAGCAGACATCCAGAACAGCCAGTGCACTGCCCAGGAAGAAGAGGAAACAAAAGATGGGTGCTAACATACGAACTGTGCCAGATGCTTCTACAAAACCCTCAACCCTTCCCCCCACTAAGAATCCTGTGGAAACGTCAGCACCAACACTGCAAAGATGAGAGAAATAAGGGTTGGAAAAGTTAGGTAACTTGCCCACAGTTCTGCCAAGTGAAAGGCAGCAGTAAAAGTTACATCCGACACAGCAAACAGTGAAAGACAACACAGGCAAGGGAAAACAGACTCCTAAAAGGTTAAAACCTGGAAACACCCCAGGTCCATTTCTCCACCACAGACAACCTGAAGCCCTAACTTGCTTGCTGTCTACATTCACGCAAAGCCACTCCAGCACACCATGCCCCAGATCTTCATCTTAACTCCAAAAGCAAAGCAAGCAGGGTTCCCTCTCAGAACCTGAGGCTTCTAACACAAGACTCCAGGACCTGCGACTCAGCACCCCCACCTCCTCTGACTGCCCCTGCACCACCCAGGAGCTCTGTCACCACCACTCTCTGCTGCACACACACGTTCTCAGTCCAGAGTCAGACACCTGTGCTGGAAGAGATGGATCGAACCACCACTCAACTTTAGCTGACAAGAGGAGAAGCAGCCTCCCAAGATGTCCCAGCAAGTTACACGAGGAGCAGGATACAACTGGCTTCTAGAGTCTCTTATCAGAGACTTTACTAAGGAGCATTTCTCAAACGAGACTCCAGGATCAACAGAGCTATCCACTGCAACAAACGGAACCTTGATGTAAATGACTTTCCCTTAAAACACACTGCGATATTACAGAATGAGATGCAGTTTTCACACACGTCTTCCTGCTGAGTGTCCATCACACTGTGCAGGCTGTGTGAGCCCCCTGAACGAGCACACAAGCATGAGATGCCTTACACTAACTACCACATCCACTCCCCAAGATCCTAGGGGGAGGCTTTCAAGCTCCAGAAAACAGCAGTCCAACCCTCTCTTCCGGTGTTCAGAGAACCCAAGCACCCCATCTCAGGTGAGGGGCCCACAGGAAGGAGTCTTATGCCATGGAATCAGGAACAAAAAAACCCCTAAGACACAGATGAGTAGGGATGGGGGTGGGGGTTCAGGAGACAACCTACCCTCACGCAGAGATCATGCTGTGGCAGCACCAAGCCCCTCAGCTTGAAGTCCTACCCCATAACAAAACCCTTGCCAATAGTGAAATCACCTACAACTCTCCTGACCAATGCTCTTCTGTGAATAAAAGAATAGGTCCCTAGGATTCACCAAGACCTATCAAGGCATGTGTTTTGTTTGCTTGCTTGTTTGTTTGTTGGTACCAGGGATCGAACGTGGGTCCTTGCACTTTCAAGGCAGGCGGCAGGCGGCCGAACCACTGAGCTAAATCCCCAGCCCCACCAAGGCATATGTTTTTAAGTTCCGTGGGCAGGCCACCCACAGTGGCACCCACCTATAAACCCAGTATTCAGGAGGCTGAGGCAGGAGAATCACGGAAAGTTTGAGGCCAGCCTGGACTACATATCAAGACCCCATCTCTAAATAAATAAATACATACATACATGCATACACAGTTTAGTTAATGTATGATCACTATTCCAGTCACCCAAGTTTGAAAACTTGTATCATCTTTGACTCATCCTTCCCCTTCCTCTGTCCCTGCTCCCCACCGATCCTAACCTAGAAGAGTAACTTAATCTTTAGGAGGTGTTTTATAAATATTTACTAAATAAATGAATGCATTACTTCTTTTTTTTTTTTTTTTTTGGTACCAGGGATTGAACTCGGGTCCTCGAGCTTACAAGGCAGGCGGTGGAACCACTGAGCTAAATCCCCCACCAAGAATGCATTACTTCTGTCAGTTCACCCTTGAAACAGGGACCAAGACCAACCTCTCAGGCTGTGTTCTGGTTAAGATTATACCCCAGAACGTAAAACACTTGCTACAGCACATACAAGGCTCTTAGCAAATGTTCATTTCTCCTCCACATCTTTCTGCAAGCTACAATCATCCCAGACAAAAGTATTTTCCCTCTACAGTGGAGCAGTTAAATGACAGAGCCGAAGATTAGTAATCAGAAAAATGAAGTCTTTTGTTCCAGCCATGATGACCTGGAACATTCTAAGCTTTGGTAACTTCCTGCAGCACTGAGTAAAGTAACACCTGATCATCCCACAGCCTGTAATGACCCTTCAGAAGGTAACATGAAACACTTCATAGGTGGCAGAGAATTGCACGAAGCATCACCAACATCTCTGTCTTCTCGGGTTCCTACAAACAGGCTCAGAGCTCAGCTGAATATTTTCTTTCAACCTCATCAGAATCCCATCCCTCCCATGAGACTTTCTCCATTTCTAAACTATCGTTTCTATTCCTTTCCTTTCAACCCACTCACTCTATCACATAGGTGGCCTTGCAGAGCTCTGTTACTGTCTACATTTTATTTAACTATGTCACAAGTAGAGACACCTTATTTAAACACCCACATCTCCCTGTGGCAGCCGACAGGGTAAAATAAATGCTTACTTATTACTACATTCAAAAGTGCCCGGTCAACTTCATTCAATAAATACTAACAGCGCTTCAAACAAAAAATTTAACCCGGGATCCATATTTACATCCAAACGTAAATTTAATAACCACGACCAAGACCGTCTTCGACCCGGGAAGTCACCTCAGAAAGAGCGGCCACACCCACCGATCAGCACAAAGCCTAGGCCAATCCAGCCACCTCCGAGCCCGGCAGCTCTGCGTTGCACAGGCGGCGGCCTCCGGGAACGCCCCTCCTCTCCTCCCGCAGCCCCCGGGAGCTCAGCATAGGGCCCGGCTGCTCTCACGGCCGAGCTGCCAAATGTCCGGTCGCGCTTCACATCACTCGCAGCGACCTGCGCAGGGTCAACGCCGCGACCCTGGGAGGGGGGGAGCGGGAAGAGAGCGGAGCGGGAGCAGCGGTCGCTCGGGGTCCGGAAGCGGGCCGATGGGGCGCGTAGGTGGCGGGGCCGGGGCCAGGACCCCCGCCGCCCCCCGCCTCACCTGCAGCACCAGGGCCTGCGCGGCGCCGGGCGGGAAGCCCATGCGGTCCGTTGGGTGACGCAGCAAGCGGTAGAAGTCGGTCTTTCGGTAGAGGAACCCGAAGAGGACGCGCAGGAAGTCCTGAACGTTGCCCACATGCTGCAAGATGCCCAGCAGGGCCTGGTCGTACAGCTCTGCAGCTCCCGGATCCATGTCACCGCCGCTGAGGGACGCGCACTCCACGGGCTCCGCCCCACAGCCACCGACTCGCCACTTCCGGCGTCCGCACCTAACTGATCCCCCGGACATCAAGGCCTCGGAACTTCCGGTCCGCGCCTGTTCCACCTCGCTGCCCCAAGCTGCTTTCCGGTGATCCCATTGCCCGGCGGGGCTTTCCCCTCAGCAGCCCTAGATTAGATAAAAGATTCCTACGTAGGACCGGAGGTGGTGCCTATGCGCAAGTAGGCCCGTACTGTATTTGCTGTGCGGAGGGCGCCCCCCCCGGGAGCCATGTTTGAAGCGGGCGGAAGGGCCATAGTGAGGGCAGGGTCACGTGATATGCGTCAGGCTTACAGTGTTTGTGAAAGTATACTCTAGTAAAAGTTTTACTGAAGATAGAGTAACCCTGATCCCAAGAGACATTTTTAAAAAACATTAGAGTAAAATTGTTGGGTTGGATACTAAGCAGGTTGGTGTTCCACAAGATTATAAAACTGTAGGTTGTCTTTTCCAGTGGATAAAAATGAATGGTATATGTATTGGACTGATACAGGCAAGTCCTCATAATGTATAGGCTCTAATGAATTTTAAAAGAAGTCAAACTGAGGTAAATTGCCCTACATGAATGGTTCTGAAGCTTTTTCGTCTTGGAACCCATGAATAGTCTTAAAATCTGCTGAGGATTCCATAGAACTTTTATTTCATTCTGCTTATCAGTATTTACCGTATTGGAAATTAAAACTTAGAAAAATTTAAAATATCTACACGTTTTTAAACAGATCACATGTTACCCACTTTTATTAAAAATAATCTTTAGGGCCAGGGATTTAGCTCAGTGGTTTCGCCGCCTGCTGCGCAAGCACGAGGGCCGGAGTTCGATCCCTGGTTCCAAAAAAAAAAAAAAGAACTATATCCACAGTGAGCCTGGGAAGGTCAGCTCACTCTTCCATCATCCACACTTCTGAGATATTCAAAACCAATATAATTATTTAGATTTCATTAAATTATCCTGTTTTTAGGGTAATCTGATGAGCTAAGTTTGCCTGAACTACTGAGATTTA